ATCGAGTCGGTGGATTCAGACGAGCCCGGTCGCCGACCCTGGGGCTTGGGCGACGGGCGTCGCGGCGCGACGGCCGGCAGGCTCGGCGTCGTGGCCGTTGTCGGCCATCGGGCTCGAAGAGGGGCTGTAGCCGCCCTCGTGGAAGAGCGAGGAGCTCTCGGGCTGGGTGCTGGCGAAGCTGTCGCTCGACGATCGCCGGCGCATGGCAGCGTTGGTGCCGAGACTGCTGTACCTCCACGGCATCTCGGGCGGCTGGAGCGAGTCGCGCTTCGATGGTGCCGCCCCTCTCCTCATCGAGGCGCGGCGGCTCGAGGGCTTGGACCCGGGCGACGTCGGCGAGGCGGGATCCCCATCCTGCCCTGCTGCCTTGGCCGGGTGCGAGCGCCTCTTGGAAGCGTCCTTCTTGCCGGCTGCGTCGCGGCTGCTACCTGTCGACGTGCGACCGGGCACGGGGCCGACCAGGGCCAGCGGCTTGGGGTTGAGACCGAGGCCGAGGAGGTCGGCCGACTCGCTACCTGGCAGCCGCATAAACGTGTCGCGGCCGGCGATCATGGGGCTGGTCGAAGGCGTCGAGAAGCACTCGGGCACGCCCAGACCGCTTCCGGGCGGGAGCAGGTAGGGGTCGGGCGACTCCATGCCTTCCTCGTCGCTGCTGCAGCGCGCCAGCTCCTCCTGGAGCCAGGCGGCCTGCTCGGCCAGCAACTGGCTCGAGACGACCGAGCTCATGGTGCCGGTCCGGGTGCGCTTGCTGACGTGAAGCGTGGGCAGCGCCGGTAGCGCCGCCTGCTGCTTGAGGGCGACGGGCGACGGGCTCTTGTGCGACGAGGCGGACGGCGGCGTGTCCTGGAGCGACTCGCTGCCCCACGTCGGGCTGCTCCCGTAGTCGCTGTCGATGAAGCGGATATAGTCGTAGTCGGGCGAGCCTGGCGAAGGGTGGGTCGACGTCGTGGGCGAAGTATTGCTGGGCGCCATGGGGCTGGCGCGCGACCACTGCTCGTGCGAAGGGTTGCCCGGCGAGAAGAAGCGCGCCTGACGGCCCGTGGCGGGGCTGTAGCGCCTCCTCGATGGCGACCGCGTGCCGTCCTCCTCGGTGATGCTCTGCATCAGCGTCGATGCGCGGAAGCGACGCGTTGGCTTCGACTCGTCTGTGGCGAGCGTGCTGCTCCTTCGGCGGCCGGCCACAGCGGTGGGCTTGGTCCCGGACAGAGGCGAGGGTGCCGCCGGCGTCGTCGCCGACATCGTCGTCCTCATCGAGGAGGCGAATGAAGCAGTGGCACTCGTGGCCGGTGCCGATGAGGGTGAGGACGCCGGGTCGGCCAGTCGCGAGGACGCCTCGCGTCCGGGATGGATCATCGAGCGAGGTCGGGGCACGGTCGCGAGCGTGGATGCCGACGCCGTCGTGCTCGAGCGAGGCCGGGATCGCCTCACGGGGACGTCGAAGGCCACAGCCGTGGGGCTCTGGCTGTCCTTCTTGCCTGATGGAGCCTGGCGGGCCGGGAGGTGCGCACAGAGCTCCTCGAGCTCGCTGGCAAGGCTCGCGATGCTCGAGCTCGAGTCGTAGGTGACGTCGCTGTCGGCAGACAGATCACGGAGGCTAAAGTCGCTGCGCGCCCGGCGATGCTTGGGCGTCGAGACCTTGATGCGGACTGTGGCGCCGGATCGAAGGTCGTTGCGGAGCCCGTTGCGCCGGGCAGCTGCAGCCGCTGCGGCTGTCAAGGTCGAGGCGACCGTCGTCGCCGTCGAGTAGCCGCCGTCGCTCGACGCGTCGCCGCCCTGGTCGGCCTTTGGGACGGTGAGGCCGAAGCGAGCCGCCGAGTTGGGTCGTGGCGTCTGCTCGGATTCGGTCGAGGAAAAGGCATCGTGCGTCGTGGTGGGCGTGGTGCTGCTTGAAGGCTCGCCGGGCAAGCCCGATGATGACGGCGCCGAAGACGACGGCTCCGACGACGGCTCCGACGGGGCCATGGCCGCGTGAGAGGACTGTGAGAGCATGGCTTGCCAGCTGAGGACCCGGCGATAGGGCAGGATCGAGCGCCTGTTTGGCCGGTCTTGGTACGAGTCGCGGCGTGGCGCGAACGGTTGCTCGGACGAGAATGTGCGAGAGTCGGGACGATGGTCGCCGACGTTCTGGCTCCTGCGACGCTCGGCGAGGAGAGTAGGGTGTGCCGACGATGGACGGGTGGGGGGCACTGAGGAGGAGCGCAGGTAGGGGAGGTTGACGTGGTAAGTACCTGAGCTCGACATTGGGATGCTGCGGGCGAGATCGATGAGGAGCGGAAGGGAACGGCGACAACGGAGCAAAAGGAGCGACGGCAACGAAACCGTATGGGAGACTGAGCGGCTAGCAGGGACAAGCTGGGGCGTCGAGCAAGACGCTGGACGGAGCGCGAGGCAAGAGGTCGTGCCCTTGACCCTGGGGCCATCGGTTGTCCAGGTGCTGCCCGGGCAAAGGAAGGCACGCGGGAGCAGGAACCCCCAACACGGTGGCGAGCAGGAACGAGAGATGGAGCGACCGAGCAGAACGTGCAGTGCCAGCAAGGGAGGGGAGAGTATAGGCGGGGATGGAGAGCGGTGGCGAGGGGAGGATCGTTGAGAGTCGTCGAGAGCGAGGCGAGCGGACCTTCATGAGCTCGACCGCAAACGACGTCGCAAGGCCAGGCCAAGGAGGGAGCGTGCCACCGTGCGCTGCCAGGATGCGCGCTGGGAAGGTGACGTCCAACCCAGGAGGGCTAGGCTGAGGTCCCACAAGATTGGCCTGCGTCGGTACGGGCAGGAGGGGAGGAGTTGCGGACTCGCTCGTCTGCTGGCCAAGGCGAGGAGCAAGCAAGGTTTGCAGGCCGCCCCTCCCGACCACTTTCTACTGCAGGCTCGACGACTAATGGCTCGATGGCGACGACTAGCGTCCCTATGCCAGGTCGAGCAGCAGCAGATGGGATCGCCTCGGATGGAGAAAGAGCCCGGCGTTGTGGCCCCGCCAAGCGCGCCCCGGTTGCCTGGATGAAAGAGGCGGCGAGGGGCGGCGACAACGGCGGTCCGGGGCGCAACCTTGGATCCAGCGGCACCGACACCGGGCGTTGGAGCCGTACGTGGGTACGTACGGTGCTGCCGCGTCCCTCTGAACGAGTGTGGGTGACATGAGGCCGCGCCATCATGAAAAATGGACAGGCGACCGACCGGCCGGACGAGCGAAGCAAGGGCGTGGTTGCCATGGCAAGCGATGCCAGGAGGCCCGTCCTGTCCTCGTCGTCCTCGTCCTCGTCTGGGTGCGCGATGTGGCCAGAGCAGCGTCGGCCAGAAGGCTGCCAGCCGCTCATCGAGGACGGGGAGCGGCACGGCATGGCAACGTGCCACCTCGCGAGGCGACCGAGAGGCCGACCGACCGACTCGCCGGGTTCGAGGGCCAAAAAAGAAGCAAAGGTGGCGTCGCGTCCGGTGTTGGATGCATTGTCCGCTTGCCTCTCGCAGCGAGTGGCCGGCGAGGCCAAGAGGCTAGGATCCCACGCCCGCGGAGCCAGAGGGCAGGGCAGCGTAGGGCAGGGCAGCGTAGGGCAGAGCAGACAAGCAAGAGCCGCAGAGGCGGCTGCTGCTGCTGCTGCTGCATATGCTGTGGCCCATATGAAGAAGCAAGGTTGGCCGTCATGCGATGGTCGTTGGACGACAACCGGCGAGGGAGGGACCTCGGTGGCTCTGCCTAGCCTCCGGCCTCTGTGCGGCGAAAGAAGCAGATGCACAGAGAGCGGCAACCTAGCACCGCTGGCGTGGAAAAGGGCAAGCGAGGCAGGCGGCCAAGGCAAGGCTGGCAGACCCTGACAGGCACCAGCCACAGCCACGGCCTCGGCCACGGCAACGGCAACAGCCACAGAAAGAGCAGCCAAGCCACACGGCCAGCCAGGCCCGCCGACAGCCGCCAGAAACCTTCTGAGCGGACTGGGGGCCCACTCTAGTCCCGCCTGGCCTGTCTGTCGTCCCTGCCTCGCGCCGTATCCCTCGCCCGCCGTTGACATTGACCAACGACGACGGTGAGGGCAATGATATGGCGGCAAGGCCACGTACTAGCTCGCCAAGACCAGCGGGGCCAGCTCTCGTCGCATGCTAGGCGGGCAATCAACCAGCGTAGCGCAGCTTAGCGCCTGGCTCGTCATCGTCGACGAGGCGTGCCTACGTGCGTGCGTGATGGATGAAGCGCAAGCCTCGTGGGCCCAGCTGAGAGCAAGCGACGGCCACAGCTAGAGGCAGGCAGGCAGGCAGGCAGGCAGGCAGCTGAGGGAGCGTGCGGGCGAGAGAGGGAGCGCGACGTTGCAACAACCAAGCAGCAAGGCGCCATCACGACGCGCGCTCGGCAAAACCGCCTGCCCGCTCCTCGCCGCCGCCCGCCCGCAGCGTTGCCGCGCATGCACCTGCTTGCACCGCTTGGCCCGCCTGCCCGAACCGGGTCAGAGCGTGGGGTCCCAGCCAGCCGGACGCCACCGCCATCATCACCGCCCGCCGCCATCGACAATGATGCAAATCTGCGATCAACACCACGGCGGCGGCGGGGCAGCGCTTTGCCCATGGGGTCCCCTCGCCGCTCTCATCGATCAGAGGGCGCGACAACGTACGTGACGTTCTCTAACCTAGCACCGACCGCCGTTGCTACCCGTGCCGTGGGGGCGAGGAGCGTGACCCTCTCTAAACTTCGTCGGCATCGATGAGGGCAGGGCAACCTTCGACGACGACGGCCAAGAGGCGCCTGACGGCCTCGCCTCGCCCGCCCCCCGGATACAGGTGCAAACGACGGGCAGCCGCGGCTACCCGTCGATCATCATCGACGACGACTGCGTCCGAACCGGGCCCCGACGGACACAATAGCGAAACGAAACGAGACTACGAGGCTCGCGGCTCGCTGCACTCACCCTAGATTATTAAGTCTTTGGACGAGCCTAGAGTAGAGTCGGCCTTGCTTGCAGCTGTCTCTAGCTCCTCTGCAGGTCCAAAGGCTGGGCGGCGTTGTCGGAAGGCTGGCGACGCGGTACTGTCGGGCTGCGTGTGTGAATCACACTACTCTCCGGTCGTCCTGATGATCGAGTGACAGGCAGGCAAAGCAAGCCGAGACGCCGCAGGGTGCTTCGTCTGCTTGCCCTGGGAACCTTCGCTGGTCGGCTTGTCGTGGCAATCTACGGCAGCAGAGTGCCTGGTTGTCACACGTCCGGTGCGCTGGTCAGCTGGTCAGTTGCTGCTGACGCGCCAGGCAAGGTCGGCTGGATCGGTGAGAGGCGCCCGCTCGTGCGCGTCTTGTGTCGATCAGGAGCAGTAGCTCGCGCGGCGCCAGGTCGTGAGCGCAGGCGCGGGTCGTCGGATGTCGATCGGCGTGACGGAGCGTGGGGCCGGTGGGTTCCGAGCGCGTGTAATGAAGCCGTCCGCAGTAGTGGCGATCCAGGCGCAGGGCGGTGCGGTGCGGTGCGGTGCGGTGCTGTCGAGCTGCGGCGAGGTCGGTCGGTCGGTCGGTCGAGAGGGCGGATGCGAGCCAGCTAGCTCGGTCGGAAACAAATGAACCCAGGCGATGGCGGCCAGAAGAGTCGAAAGTGGCCACGATGGCGATGGCAGGCGTGATGATGGTGGTGACAGGGGGGATGAACTATGAACGATGACGGGTGGTGGTGGTGGTTGGTGACGACGTTGGCGGCTCAGAGACGATGACCGTAGGTGGTCGGTCGGCGGGCGGGTCGAGCTAAGAAGGTAGGCGTGCTCGATGATGGGGTCAGAGGAGGTCCCGGACAGGTCATCAGTCGGTCGGTCGGTGATGCTCAAACCAGGGGGCAACGATGCATTGGAGCGGCGACCACGGATGGGTGAGCGGGCATAGTCATGCGGATGCCTGCCTGTAGCTCTTGCTCGACCCGAGCCACAGAAGAGGTACCGTACCGTACCTTGCCTTGCTCTGCCTGGCCTGGGCTTGTCGGCGTACGATACCGTCACCATAAGCCAGAGGTACCGCGCAGCCCCTCGAACGTTGCGCGCCCAAAGGCAGGCAAGCGCAAAGCCAAACTTGTGTGCCGTGACTGTGCGTGATGCTAACGTGTGAGAAGCGGCCCGAGGGGCGGGAGGAGCGGCAACGTCGATATGATGGGACGGACCTCCTTGCCGCTTGGAAGAGGCCAGGGAAGGGTGACAGCAGGCAGGCAGGCAAGGCAGGCAGGCAGGCAGGGACCCCTTCCATCCTCGGCGGCGGCGGCGGCGGCGGCGGCAAAGCCACGCAGCGCAGCGCCTGCAGAGAGGCAGGCAGGCAGGCAGGGGAACGAGGCGCGGGGGGGAGGCCAACGCCACGAAGGGGGCTCGAGGGCTCGACCCAGCGGCCTGGCTTCATGCGGCCATACGAGTGGTGCCGGTGCGTCGTCGGTGGTCCCTGAAGGCAGGCAGGCAGGGCATGCCTGCAGGAGGTGTCGCGTCGATGGGAAGAACGCAACGCACGCAACCAACTCAGCCAGCCAAGAAGGCCTGCTGGCCTGCCATCCCGTCGAGCACAGATAGAGGCGGATGCTGCCTCTGCTTCGACGCTCGCTGCCCGCCCTTTCTCCTCCATCGCATCGCCAGTCTAGAGTGAGTAGACTGCCCCTTCCGAGACAGGACTAGTGTACAGTACAGAAAGAAGAACAGCTCGAGCGAGGCCGAGAGGCTAGCTGGGCAGGCAGGGGAGACGTGAGGCAAGCCAAGGCAAAGGGCGTGCCTGCCTGCCTGTCTGTCTCTTCTGCCGTCTTGACAGGCAGGCAGGCAGGCACGCGCGCATGGGGCTCGCGACTCTGGCCTGCCTCGCCTATCCTCGCCTCACGAGGCAATCCTGATCGGCGCCCTTGCTTGCGAACCCTGACCTGACCTGTCCTGACCTGGCCGGCGCAGAGAGCGGGCACCTTCAGGCAGGGGCGAGGGGAAGAACGCGGCCACCACCACCGCCGCCTGGCTCGGCACTTTCGGAAAGCGCGGTTGCAAAACCAAGGGTCCTGCCTCGAGGTTAGAGCTCATCTCGACCGACCCCTTGCTCCCTTCCCTTCCCTTCCCTTCGGAGAGGCAATCTCGACCCCTGCCTCTACTCTTTCTGGTAGGCCGCGATCCTTCCCCCCCTACCCCTCCTCGGCCCCTTGTTGCTCCGCCATCCTCCTTCGACGTCCCTGCCCTGTCGTCGCCGTAGCCTTCTTTCTGTTCTGGCCCTGATCTTGGCGCTGCGGAGGCCTGTACCAAGGTGGCTGGCTGCTCGGAACATCACGCTGGCCGAAGACGACGGCCCGACCGCACACGCGCAGCAGCAGTGACCCACTAGGCACACTGACAATGGTGTTTGCAAGTCACCGTCAGATGAGGAGGACAAAAGAGGGCGAGCCGACGACGACGAGGATGGTGGCAACGTGCGGTCGTGGTTGGTGGGGCCCGAGAGCGACTCTCGCGCGCAAGCGGGGAGCGGATGCTGCCGGCGCCGTCACCGGGGATCAATCGACGATCTGCTGGACCGCCTTGCGGGCATCTCTCTGTTTGCCTCGTGCCGTCGTGCGGCCGTTCACCGACCCGCTGCCCCTCATACAACTATGCAGCACCCAAGCAGTCGTGGTTGATCCAACTCCATCTCCCGGACAGGACCATGACCACAGGGTCGTCTCTGGATCGTATCTCCTCTGTCGTGTCTAGTATCGGGAGCCGGGGCCGTGATAAACTCGACAGGAAACCACCCACCGGTGGGTGCTACCTCCGGGATGCCCATGGACCAACTCAGCTGTCCACATGGTCGCGGCCTCCAACACGACGCCATGGCCTCCTCTTCGCGCGTAGCTTGTGCACAGGGCACCCCCAGTGCGCAGACTCTCGAAACTCACTCCGACTGTGGCTGATGAGGGGCTCGAGCGGTGCGAGGACCGGCCAGGGAGGTGCATACGGATGTCGGATCCCGGCGGCAAGAAAGCGTCCGACGCAGCACAGTGGCATCTCGATGTCCGACGCGCACAATGCTTGGTCTTCCGGTGAACTGTCGATGGAGGGAAGCTGAGGAGATGGCGATACAGGGAGCCATCTAGGCAAGGGAGGGAGTCAAAGTGTTTAGCTCGCGATCGTCGTCCAGAGTCACCGACGGGAGCATCTGCTTCTGCAGTGGAGCGTCGTCGATGAGACAAGGAAGAAAAGGGGGGAGCGAAGCATGAGCTTCCACCGAGCGAGAGAGCTTCCCTCTGGTCCGGGATGTTGGTGCCGATGACAGGCGAGTGGGCGATCGTCGAGCGACAACGACGACGACGAAGACGGCGAAGACGGCGATGATCTTTCCTTGTGCTCTCCGGGGGACAATGGGCGGACTTGGCCAAGGCAAGGCAAGGAGGACGTACCATGGTGTGGCTACCGTCCGTGGATCCGAGCGTGTCGCCCGGCTCCAGCTGGGCAGGCCCGGCGACGTCTGATCCTTCCGTCCGTTGTTGTCCGGTCGTGTGGAGCCGCTGTTTGCTGTCAAACGACTTCTACCGGCACGGTACTGTAAGCAGATGTGTCGTTGAACACCGGTATTCTGCTGCGCCAGGCCCGGGCGTCGGCTCTGTCCGCCACCACGTCGCGGTAAAGAGTGAGCGAGCGACGAGGGCGACGAGGGCGCGGCGGCGTGGGTATTTGATTGCTTGTGGTTCGGCGGCAGAACGACGACGACGGCCGTAGGGCGGGTGTGCGTGTCTGTGTGACGTCGGAACGTCGAGGGGAAAGAAGGATCGGGGATGCAAGGGGGTTGGCGTGGGTGCTGGTAATTTTCCCTCCTGGCCTTTCCGCCTGGCGCTCTCGAGGCTGAGCCGCAACCCGCGCCGGCTGTACCTACCAACGACACGACAGGAAGCGAGAAACGGCGCGTTGGGGTGCCGCCAGGAACCTTGCCTGCCTTTGCCTCGTGTATGGAAGGACCGGACGGGCATGGCAAGGGGCTTGAAGGGAGACCATGTCGACGAGGATCGAAGAGCTGTCAAGGGTCGTGAGAACGTCGGTGGGCGCAGGCGCATGAGCATCCGCCAGCCCGCCCGCCCGCTCGCCCGCCTGCGATGCAACCGCGGTACCCCCCGTGGTGGTGGTGATGGTGTGGACGCCTGACTTGGCCTGGCTTGGCCTGGCCTGGCCTTGCTGCCTGACACGTTTTGCACTCTGCCTGCCTATCCTGGCTGTCCCGACGTGGGACTTCTTTGGGCCCATGCAGCATCCGCCGTCCCCCTGGCTGGTGCCTGTACCCTTGCGTTGGCTTTCGGCAGCCTCAACTAGCTGTGTGTGAGGCGATGAGATCCGCCCGGGGGAGCTGTCACGACGTCGAGCCGATAGGGTTCTGACAGCTCGCCATGGGCCAAGCTGCGGCCCGTACTGTATGTACAACATCCACAGGCTCGAGGGTGGTCTGCCGATGGCGGGTCCTTGATTGAACTCTCTGTCGACGATGTCAAGGCCTCGAGTCGGGCCTGCTGCGGATCTGAGGGCGTGCAGCGGGGCGCTGGGGCGGGGTGGCGAGAAGCAGGCTGCTGCTGCGGCTGTCGTTTGCGCTCGACGAATGCCAGGCAGCGACAGTATGTAGTACTTAGGTGACGTCGGATGATGCCGCCGTGCTCAGTGAAGGCGACAGCGGCGACTCTTTCAGTGGCTAGAGCGTCGTCGCGCGCGGGCCAGAGGCAAGCATGGCCTGGCGACTGAAAACGCGTGGCGTGAGTTGGCGAGGCAGGCCTGCCTGCTGGCCCTCGCCCAGCTCAGTATGGCCTGGCCAGGCCAGGCAGAGGTCCGCCAAAGCTGCTGCTGCTGTTGACGCGCAAGTGGAGGTTGGGACCCTGTCAGAGCTGTTCGGATCCGAAGTATCGCTGCTTGACCCTGCCCCCGCTTGGGCGCCGGCGCCAGATTTCTTCTGGATTTTTGTTCTGGCATTTTGCGTGGGGCGCCGGCGCTGCCCTGCCAGCTCGAGAATTTTTTGAAGGGCCCTCACCACCACCTTGCAGCTTCGCCTCGACATCAACCGCCTCCAGCATCGCAACGCAACGCCGCTTGCACCATCACCTCGTATCGACACCCTCTCTCACCCCACCATACACACGCAGCGCCACTAGCGACGCACCCCCAGGCCTCACCGCTCGCCCTACTCTGCCCCGTCGCGCTCACCACCCCCAACACCGCCACCGCCATGCCCGACGCCTTCTTCCAGAAGAAGCGCAAGCGAGCTCCCTCGGCGGGCGGCGGCGGCGCCGATGTCAGGTCCGCATCGTCCCCGCGCGCCGGCCCCAGCTCGTCGCGCCGCCACACGGCCACCCTCTCGGCCCACAAGCGCGCCAACCGCAAGCGCCATGACGACGACAACGACTCCCCCGACAACGACGACGAGGGCCTCGACACCATGGACCTCCAGCACCGCTACGACCAGGGGCCAGACAGCGAAGACGAGGCAGAAAGGGCAGAGACGGCCGCAGAGGCCAGGGTCAGGCTCGCACGCCAGTACCTCGACGGCCTTCGCGCCGCAGACCACCCCGACGACGACGGCGCAGACGCCGCCGCCGCGGACCGCGACAACATCGCCGCACGCCTCCAAAAGGACGTCGCAGAGCTCAGCGGAAAGATGCACACCTTTGTCGCAAACCGCCTCGTCGCACCCACCGGCGCCGACCGCGTCCTCCTCGGCGTGCGCGGACACCGCCTCAGCGTCACGGCCGCCGTCGCATCGAGCGACGCCACCAGCCTCTTTACCGCGGGCAAGGAGGGCTCCATCATCCGCTGGAGGCTCACCGACGGCAAAATGGTCCGAGTGCTGCCCAAGCGCGCCAAGCGCCTCGACCAGGACGGCAGGCCGCTTCCGCCCACCAAGTCGCACCGCTCAAAGACGAGCGGCGCAGCCAGGAGGAGGGAGAGGATGACAAAGGCCAAGGGCAAGGCGCGTGCCACCGACGGGCCACACGGCGGCGCGGAAGGGGGCGGGGGCGAGGGCGAGGTTGAGGGCGGGGACGGTGACGAGACGAGCCGCGGCGCAACGGTGGGCGGCTACCTCGATGTGGGCGAGGGCGAGGGGCACACGGACGAGATCTGGGCGCTGGCCGTCAGCGGCGACGGCAAGTACCTGGCGTCGGGCGGCAAGGATCGGCGCATCGGCATCTGGTCGCTCGGCGACGACGACGAGGCGCGGCACGCGGGCGGCGCCGAGCGGTGGCTCAAGGCGCTCGGCGGGCACAAGGACTCGATCAGCGCCCTCTCGTTCCGCCCGTCGAGCTCGGAGCTCTACACGGCGTCGTTTGACCGCACGCTCAAGCTCTTTGACGTGTCGCAGCTGAGCTACATCGAGACGCTCTTCGGGCACCAGGAGTCGATCCTGTCGATGTCGTGCCTGCGCGCCGAGACGGCCGTGAGCGCCGGCGGGCGCGACCGGACGTGCCGCTTCTGGAAGATCCGCGACGAGAGCCAGCTCGTCTTCCGCGCCGGCGCCAAGAGCAGGCTGCGCGAGGTGCTCGAGGGCGGCGACCTGGCGCGGCTCGAGGAGCGCGAGCGCGACGACGAGGAGCAGCAGCGCCGCCGCGGCGTCAAGGAGTCCGAGGTGCGCGCCAAGGCCGCCGAGCTGGTCGAGGGCAGCGTCGACTGCGTCGCCATGGTCGACGATGCCCACTTTCTCAGCGGCGGAGACAGCGGCTCGATTTCGCTGTGGGACCTGGCGAAAAAGAAGCCCGTCTTTAGCGTCGCCGCCGCCCACGGCTTCCACGACGTCGTGAGCGAGACCGAGGGAAAGATCCAGACGCCGCGCTGGATCACGAGCCTCGCCTGCCTGCCCTACGGCGACGTCTTTGCAAGTGGTGAGTGCGCGGTGTACCGAAGCGCCCATGCCGCGCACATGCACGGCGATGGCCGGCGGTGTCCTTGATGCTGACGACGACTCATCCTCATCCTCATCCTCATCGTCTTTTTCGCCATCCCCGCCCTCCCGTCTCTGCAGGTTCGTGGTCCTCAGAGATCCGGGTCTGGGCACTCGACAGCCGTCTTCGATCCTTTAGCGCCCTCTTCCGCATCCCAGCGATCGGGTTCATCAACTCGCTGCAACTCGTCCAGCCTCCGCCCTCTTCGCTCTCGATCGACGCCGAAACGGGACGAAAGACGAGCGGGATCATCCTTCCGGCGCTGTGGAAACGCCGTGACGGTCTCTCGTCGTCGTCCTCGTCCTTGGTGCCCGTCGACGACGAGGAGGGTGACTCTGAAACCATCGAGGATCCCGAAGAGCAGGAGGGGGAGGGGGAGAGGGGGATGGTGAGGGGGAGCAAGGAGAGCGTCCCGCCCTTTTTGGTCGCTGCCATCGGCCAGGAGCCCAAGTTTGGACGGTGGTTCAAGATCAAAGAGGCAAAGAATGGCGCCCTCGTCGTGCCGTTTGCCTTTGAAGCCTAACTTGGTGCAGGGCAGGCATGCCCCCGACCGACGCGATGCCCTCGGTAGCTCCAGAGCTTGGTCCGTGTCGCGATGCCACCACTTCCCCCGCCTTTCCCTCCCCCTCGCACCCTCCTTCCCCCTCTTTCGATCCTCCCCTCAAAACATCCGCATCCTCATTCGCACCTTCATCCGCATGCATGCAGAACCAATCGAGCTGACCTGTCAGATCAGGGATGCGTATCGATTCGAGCGCGTCGGGACGACAAGAGGGGGATAGCGTGACAGCGAGAGAGAGAAAGAGCCAAGGAGCAGAGCGCGTGGGGGAACGGCGGGAAAGATGCAAGTGGACTGGGGCTCGATGGGCTTCGAAACGCGGACAGCGGGTATGGATCTTGGGTGCTGAGGTGCCAGAGAATGGGGACGAGGACGAGGACGAGGGAGCATGCACGCGCGCGCGAGAGAGAGAGGGAAAGGGAGAGGAGGCCGGGGAAGCAGACGACGAGCCCGCCCGGCGCTCCACTACGAGATAAAGACTTTGCGCAGGCTGGCAAAGGAGTAAGTCTCGCTTGTGCGCGGGCAGACGATCGTACTGCCGTCGCGGCTCTTGTCGACCATCTCTTCGAGCGCCTGCGATGTGGAGTGAGGGCATGGGATGAAGGACAATGGGGATGTCAGTCAGACCTCCAGCGACACAAAAGGAACATCGGAGCAGCGCACGCCCGACTCACCGAAAGCGCGTACACCCTGCCGTTGGGCATTGCCATGGGCGGGTTGTTCTCGTCCATGACCTTGCCGCTCAGGCTGCAGACGAGCGTCGAGTTGGCGTGGTGGCTCCACGGCACCTCCCTCGCCAGCGTGCCCAGGCCGTCGGTGTCGCAGACGGGGCAGTCGATGTTGCGGTCGTCGGTCGTCGGCCTGCCCGTCGCACGGCCGCGAGCCAGCGCCTGCGCGTGCGTGTGCGGCGCGATGCCCGACGACATCATGCTGCCGAGGTACGAGAGCGGCGACGAGCCGCCAGGGGCCCGCGCGCCTCCTTCGCCACGATCGAGCGCGCTACCGCTCCCGCTCCCGCTGCTGCTGCCGTCTACGCCTCCACCGGCAGAGCTGCTGCCTCCTCCCATGGCCGGTGGGAAGCGCGACGGCACCGAGACGGCGTCGGATTGCGTCGCGTGGCCACCCTCGATCAGTGCGGCCGAGGCGGCGTCGGCAGCCGTACGCCCGCCGAGGTGGGCGGGCGCTCCCGTCGAGCCGGCAACGAGCGATCGCGCCTCGTGGCTGTAGCAGGCTGGTACCTTAAGGCTCGACAGGCCGGCGCTCAGCGCAATGTGCAGAATCGGCTGCAGCGGCAGGCTGTGGATCTGCAGCGCGCAGACGCGGAAGCTGTCGCGCAGCGAGAGCCAGCGGTACGGCGTATAGAGGTCTTCGTAGGCCCAGCCGTCCGGGCCGCACGCGATCAGGCCCATGGCGCGCGACACCTGCTTCTTGATGGCCTCGTGCGCCGACCGGTCGTACTCGGCGTCCTTGTCGAGAGACGCGGACTCGGCCGCCGCCGCCTTGGACGGCGACGATGCCGAGGGCATGGCGGCCAGCGCCGCGACGGCAGCGCTGTGCATCGGCAGCAGGTGGCGTCGCAGGTAGGCTATCGCCTCGCGCAGCGATTCGGGCGTACGCACCCGCACCAGCTCGATGTACTCCTGGAGGCGCAGGTCGAACTCGAGCGGACTCTTGATCTTGCGCAGCATCGTCTTGTTCTCCGAACACCAAGCCAGCGCTGCCGTGCAGCTGGGTACGGCGGCGGCGGCGGCGGCGGCGGCGGCGTTTCGAGAACCTCGAACGGACGCCTGGCCGTCGTCTTCGTCGCCGTCGCCATCGTCGTGGCCGTTGTGGTCGTTGTTGAGCTGCCAGCCGGGCGGGACGAGGGACTGCTCGATTGTGGCAATCTCGGCAAAGAGGTCGGTGTCGACGAGGTCCTGGATGCCTCGAGCCTTTGCCAGCTCGTCTGCCGAGGAGCGATAGCCGCGGCGGAGCATGAAGTCGACGAGCATGCGGTCGAGGCGGACCTTGGACCACTCTGCAAATTCGGGGCTGGCGGAGCTGTCGATGGAATGGAGGTTGCTGAGGTGGTCGGTCCTCGACTGGGCCATGCGGAGCGTCTGCTTGGACTGCTGCGCCAGCGGGAGCATCTGCAGTGGACCGGCGGGGAGGCGAAACGGGGGTCGGGTCAGCGAGGTGCCTTCATGGGCGGAAAGCAAGAGCAAGGAAGAGGCTGCTCACCTTGCGCTTCAGCCCGCGCAGCCTGCCGAGCATGGCATCGAGGCTCCTTTCAGCCTCTTGCCTGACGGCGTCTGGATCGGAGGACGAGGACGAGGGCGAGGGCGAGGGATGCGGGAGCGGGGATGACGAGGCTGGGGGTGGCCGGCTCGCTGCCACCTTTGCCTCGAGGTCGTTTAGGGTGGACGAGCAAAAGATGAATTCGCGCTCGATGAGCCTCTGCTGCGTGCGCTGCTGCCTGCGCAGCTCGTCAAAGGGGAGCCTTGCGAATGGCTGTTCGAGGAGGAGGATGCCGTCGAGGTTGGGCCTCGAGGAAACGGGCTGCTGCTGGGTGACTGATGCCGAGGCCGATGCGGACGCCTCGACAGACTGCTGGGGCGGCTGCGGAGGCTGGCCGGCCAGCTGGGCCGAGGCCATGCTGTGCAGAGGCGGCGGCGGCTTCGGACGCCGAGGTGCGCTACAGGAGGTTGCGGCGGGATTCCAGCGGATGCGAGTGCAGCCGCTATCGCTTGAGGGCGATGAACAAGTTCAGGCGAGGGCTTGAGGGGATAGCGGGCTGTGATGGCGGTGATGGTGAGGATGGCAGTAATGGTGGTGGCGGCGAAGGTGGCTGCAGAGGAGGTAGGGTTGCGCGCCGGTGCGATAGGGCTCACCAGAGGCAGCAGGCTAGGCTAGGGGCCCAAGCTGCGCCTCGCACTCGCCTGACCTCGCTGGACCCTGCGCAACAAACGTCTGCAGCACGACCGGCCAGGCCAGGCCAGGTCAGGCGCCGGTGGAGCAGATCGGCTCCATCTACTTCATCGGGGACCGGATCCCGATGCCTTCCTTGCCGCGATGACCTTCGGCTCGGCTCCGACCCGCTCGCTCTCGAGGCCAGCGGGCTGGGATGATAGGCTGGGCTGGGTTGGCCATCGCGCGGTATCGATCGAACCACCCGACGCTGCGACGCGCTGTCTCTGACATCGGCTGGTGCCGGGAAGCGACGAGGCTAGGCTGGGGCGAGACCAAACTCAACCCACGCACGGGGTGATGTCATGCCTCTGGCCGCCCTTCTGCAGCCGTTGGTTTCGGGAACCGGCCGTGCGCGCTGCTGGTGGTTTGGATGTGGCTGCAGCGGTTGCGCTTGCTGCTGGGTTGCTTCTGTGCAGCAGCAGCAGCAGCAGCCACCAGCCAGCCAGCCAGCCAGCCGGAAGAGGAAGCAAGCAGGCAGGCCTGGCCCCGTGTTCCCGCCCCGCCCAGCCAGGTTTTCGGGTCGCCTCGCCCGCTTGGCAGGGCCGGCCTCCGAGCCTCGTTCGAGCCCGCCAGCGTGCGAGCAGCAGCAGCCAAGCAGAGCCTGCTTTTGTGTCTGGCCAGGAGCGGGCGCGCCGTTCCGGTCGTGCATGTGGAGGCCGAAAGCCCGCTGCGCACCCCGATCGCGGCCGCTGGATCGCCGCGGATCGAAGCCACCGCAGCAGCAGCAGCAGCTGCCCTTTCCGCCTTGCCTCCCTGCCGTTGCTGCAAAGGCCGCCGCAACCCAACGTGGCGCCACCTCGTCTTTTTCCAGACCGAGGCGGAAAAGGGCGAGCTGCTCGCAAGCCAGGCCAGGCCAGGCTAGCCAAGAAGGCATCGCGATCGGCCTCGTGCTGTTTGTGCTTGAGCTTCTCAACGTGGGGCGAGATCGGACCAGGAGCCGCAGCGTCCGCACAGGAAGACTCAGCGCAGCGCCTTGCTGCTTGTTTTCCGACCGGGAAGCCAGCGGGCAACCCTGCTGTTTGCTGCTTGGGGGGACACCTGTCGATCTGCCGTCGAGATCTCGAGCAGCGCCAGAGAAGCGCGGGCAGGCGGGATGGTCTGGCAGCAGGCCAGACTCCCCTGCCTGGCCATATCGGATCACGATCCGCCGCCGCCACATCGTCGTCGTTGTCGACGTCGGCCTGGCCGTGGCCGTAACTACGTGCGTGTTGGGCCGACCCGCCCAGGCAGGTCAGGCCACAACGAGACCGAGAAACAGGATGGCGGGGCGATCCGACGAGGCCACCGCGGCCGCCATCGCGAGACGCAGCGTGCACCGGGTCGGCCTGCCCTCCTTGCGACTGCGGGCGGGGAGGTCTGCCTGCTCTGCCTGCTCTGGCGGTGGTGGGCGCCGTTTGGGTGGTGACATCGATGCCAGGTAGCCTCGGCTGTCCTGGCCTGGCTCGCTGCCGCTGGGGTGGTGGCCACGCCCTGGCCCTGCGAGAGGGTTTGTCGCCGTCGGCCTGCCTGCCTGCCCGTAGCCTGTCTGCCCTCCCGCCTGCCCGGCTGGCCGCGACGTTGCCTGCTTGCTTGCCTGCTTGCTTGCTTGCTTTCCTCCTCCCTCGCCCTCTGGCTTTGCCTCGCTGCCACCGTCCCCTCTCTCACATCCACCCTCGCTCGCCCGGCCTCTCTCTCTTGCCCGCAAGACGTTTCGATCCATTCGGCTGTCGACCCTGGCCATCTTGGTCCTGCCTGTCCTCATTGTGCTCATTCGGGCACCCCCCGCCTCGATCCACTGCCCGCACACTCTTCCCGCGCCCCTCCCTCCCGCCTGCCCGCCGTATCGCGGCCAGCCGGAGTCAGAGTCATCGCTAGCGTGCTGGCCCTAGTCACAGAGTACTGTAGCTCCCTCTGAGTCCACCGCTTGACTCCGTCGCCGCCATCGCCATCGCCAATCGCCCTCTCGTCGACCAGCCTTCCGCCCATCTCCATCGCCCTCGACGTGCCATCGCCCCGCCTGCTCCCGACCTCGAGCATCCGCCAGCGCCACCCTCTCGCCTGCCTGACCAAACCCAAGTGCGACAGCGCTACGTCAATCCCTGCCCGGCCCCCTCTTCCTCTCACCTTCCGCCCCGCTCGTCGTCGTCGCCCCCCATCGCCTGTTTCTCCTGCGCCACCTCACTCGACTCACCACCCTACCCTCCCTCTATCGGCGTGAACCCTTCCTCGCCGGCTGGTTTCTCTCTCGACTCGCCCTGCCTCCGGCCTGCCACGACAGCAGACAGTTCTACCCGCCTGCCTGTCTGCCTTTCCGCCCACCCGCTTGCCAGCCTGCCAACGAAGCAGCCTGCTTCGGGTTGCCCTGCCCGCTTGCTCGCGCCTCCAACCGCCCGCATGACTGTGGTCGCCACTTCCATCGCACCCTGATCCTCGCCCCCCTCCACCACCCCATCGCCGAAGCGTCCGACTTCCAGCTTTGCGCACCACCAAGCCACCCCGCTTCTACAGCTTCCGCATCTCATTCGACCACCTTCAGCCCTCTCGCCACCTTCTTGTGCCCTTGGCCTCGACACCACCACCACCACCACCACCGCCGCCGCCGCCAGCAGCAGATCGCCCTCGCATAGTCACACTCCGGTTCCAATCCTTCGCTCCTAGCTCGACGCAACCGGCCATTACTGCATATTCGACCCGTCGATTCCGCCCGCAGCCTGCTCTTCCCGATCTTATTGGCATCCGAGCCCCTCGTCTGTCCCACATCACATAGCTACGCTTCCCTTCGGCGCAGCTTCCTTCCTTTCACACGCCGCCCAGCATGGCCGCGACCAAGGCGACCGCCAGCGGCTCTAGCGGGTCGCACAACGCTTCCACGTCGAACACCACCGCCGCTCCTGCTGCCTCGTCCAGCAACCTGGGCAAGCGCAAGTCGGTCAGCGTCGCCTCTTCGTCCGATGCCGGGGACGACGAGGGCGACGACGCTCGCGGCAGGTCCCCCTCGAAGCTCACCGCCACCGGCAAAGTTTCGGCTTCCCAGCAGCTCGTCCCCGTGCCCGGCAACCCAGATGCACCGCTCGTGACAAAGAGGACACTCCAGAATCGTGAGTGCACGCGCGACGCCGCCACCCATGGCCGCTGTTCGAACAGGGGCGCTGACCGTCTCTGCCGTCGGTCGACATCGGCCCGGTCTTGTCTCCCTGTCATCTCGTTGCGCCCCTGCAGGCAAGGCACAGCGCGAGTTCCGAAAGAGGAGGGAGGCCCGCGTCAAGGATCTCGAGGAGCGGGTCCGGCGCTACGACGAGCAGGGCGTCGAGGCCAACATGGCCCTGCAGCAGATCGCAGAGTCACTCAAGCAGGAGAACGAGGCACTCAAGAGCCTCCTCGTCCGACTCGGCTTCGGCCACATGATTGGCGGCGCGCTCGAGGGCGTTCGCGGCCCGGCCGTCAGCTACCCCATGCCGCCGCACAGCTTCCCCGCCATGGACATGAGCATGGCCTCGTGGGCCAAGGGGGCGGGCGCGCCTACCAACGTATCCTCCGCTCCCTCCGCTGACGCCGCCTCTCGGCGCGGCACAAAGGCGGATGGCATCGACATGACGGCAAGCGGCGCGCAGAAGTCGTCGTCGTCTGGCGTCACCGCTCAGCCGCAGTTCCACCCGCCGGCAAGCGACAGCGTCAACCCGAGCCTGCTCAGCGACGCGCCGAAGCCGGAGACGGCTGCCAGGGCAAAGGAGGAAGAAGGTGGTCCGTTCAACAGCGACTGGTTTGCCCAGCTGGCGCAGTCGGGTCACGGCAAGGACGACGACGATGACGAGGGCGACGCCGCCGCCGCCGACAACCGCACTTCGCAGGCGTCTGGCCCCGTGGCCGCCTCTTACGACGGCGGCAACGCGCAGCAGAACCGCTTGCACCAAGGCCAGCAGCAGTCGGCCTCGGTCAACCCGATCCTTTCGCTCAACTTTGGCGACTCGGGTGCGGACAACAAGAGCCAGCAGCAGCAGCAGAACGGCAAGGGGAGGGAGCGCCAGCAGCCGTCGCCGTCCAAGTACGGCGCTAGGCTTGGCCCCAGGGTCAATGACCTCACCCCCAACACTGCGCTGCGCAACTTCTTCAGCGACTTTGCAGCGCCGCCCTCGAGCAACGGCAACAACGGCGGCCTGCAGTCGAGCACCAACGCCAGCAACCACGGAGCCTCGGGCTCGGCCATGCTCGGCGACGCGTCAGCTGGCCGCGGCTTCGGCATGCCCGCCTTTTCGAACTCCTCTGGTCCCGGCGGCAACAGCGGCGCCGGCAACATCTTCCCCATGCCGCTGCCGACGCACCAGAACGACGCGCTGCTCAACCCGAACCCGATCCCCTTCGCCTTCAACCTGAGCAACACGCGGAGCCCTCCGGACCAGAGCTGGTGGAACCAGATGGGCGGCGGCCAGTTCACCGACGCCGACAACAGCATCCTCGACGAAAAGGCGCAGGCAGTCGCCCAGGCCACGGCCGCCCTCAACGGCGGCAACGGCAACAACACCAACAACAACAATAGCGGCAGCAACAATGGTGCACAGAGCCCGTTCGACCTGTCGGCTTTTCTGACTGGGGGCATCACGCCCGGAGGGGGCTTTAATCTAGGCCCGCATGCTGCCCCCGGAAACGTCGACTCTGCGTTTGGGAGCGGCTTCAACTTTGGCAACGCCGACGATCCTCTCGGAAAGCTCAAGGATGGCGGCGACAAGGCGGCGCCCGCCGCGTCGCTGCTGCCCGCGGGCCTCGGCGACGGTGGCAAGGGCGCGGGCAACGGCAACAGCAAGTCGCTGACGCCCGCCGAGCACGCCCAGATGTTTCTGCGCCTCCTCGAGGCCAAGATGGCGCGGCAGAACGTAAGCCCGTACACGTCGCTCGGATTCCAGCCGCCGTCGCAGATGATGCAGCAGCAGCAGCAGCAGCAGCAGCAGCAGCAGCAGCAGCCGGCGGCCGCCGGCAGCGACGGCCGAGCCAATTCGTCGCCGCTCTCGTTGAACCCGGATCAGGATGGCGGCGACCGCCCTGCCTCGCCGGCGCTGACGCTCAAGCTCTCGTCGCCCAGCCTGTCGCCGATCAACGTGTATACGCGCCTGTCGCAGCACCCGGCCTTTCTCTCGACGGACGCGTCGGAGCTCGAGGAGCTCGTCGACTTTATCGACCTCGACCAGCAGCAGCAGCATCAGCAGCAGCAGCAGCAGCGCAAGGCGGGCAACGGCACGCTCCTCTACCCGCCCTCGGCGGCTGGACTGACGCCGAGCCTGTACGGCGCCGCGTCGGGCGGCGGCACGGGCAAGCTGGGCTCGAAGCCATCGGCCCCGTCGGACGAGGCCGGAGTCGAGGTCGACGAAAAGGCGCTCGACAAGATGCTGGGCTTCCTCGACCAGAGGACGCCGCGCGGCGATGCCCCGCTCAGCTACGGCCAGGACTTTGTCGTCTGAGCGGTCCGTCACCCACGTCGTGCACGACGCATCCCGCCTCGTCGTCGTCGTCGGTGCTGCGCCCGTCGCTGCCGCCTGTCGCCGCCATCATCCATCGCACCGCATTCGTGTATAAGTACCTTGTCCTGTATCTCTTGTCTCTCGTCTGTCGCTGTCCCGTCTCGTCTCTTCCCCTGCCTCTCCCTCTCGTCAGTCGTATCGCTTCTTACCATTATGGATTCACAGTAGCGCCTCTTTGAGTTGCGTCGCTTCGCCATCCCGCATATACATATGGGCCGCTACGCCTCTGAGCTAGCAGCCAGGCTCTCGATCTCTTTCCCCCTGTCTCTTTGCTTACGTTCGCACCACTCATTCCGGATCCAGTCCAGACGCGCGAAACTCGAGCTCCATCCTCGCCGTCCATAGCCCGCTTCTAGCCGCAGCCGCAGCCGCTCCCGCTTCCGCTCCTTCTCTCTCTCTCTCTCTCTCTCTCGCTCCCTCTCCAGCGCTTCCGTCACACCCGCCAGACTTGCCGTCGTGATCGTTCTTGGGCTCTCTTTCGACCTGTCCTCCTTTTCCTCGCCGCTCCCGTGCCTTGCAACATAGTCGGGTCGATGCCGAGGCCTCGTTGCCTTTGCATTGCCAGGGAGCGTTCCGCATATCGAGTTCCCCTCGCCAATCTTGCAAAAGAATGCTGTTATCGGCCCAGTCCAAGTGGATTGATCATGACAGCTGATGGAAGAACAGCCCCTCCCTCGCCCGAACGGGAGCTGATGGGCAGATTGGAGCGGTGCTGGAGGAAAGAGCCGGTCGCGCAAAGTCGGAACAGGTCGGGATGACCTCTGGCCCCCTCTCTCTCTCTCTCTCTGGGTCGGTCGGACAGGCGAGCTTCCGATCCATACCGACCGGGCCCCGGCATTCGCCATCATCAACTCCTGCTCTGACGATTCTCGATGCTCGTCATCGCCGCCGCCGCCGGTACGTGGGCGTGCAGACGGTACCATACGCTGCTCGTGTGGAAGGGCCTGTGAAAAAGAGAGAGGCAGCGGGCCAAGGGCTGGCTTGTCACGGCTACCGTATGAGGCCAGGACGTCGAGCCGGGGGGCGGGGGCCCAAGTCCAAGGGCCGCTTTGATCCGCCCCACCGGCCTCCCGGCCCCACGCCTCGCTCCCCCGCCTGCGGGCTTTCACGCTTGGCCTGGCCTCGAGCAACGTTTTCCGTGCGGAAGTCGCTCGCCCCCTCACCGGCAACGCCCCGGCCACCCAAACGACCCTGGCCTGGCCTGGCCCGGCCTGGCCCCGCCCCCGCCCAAGGGCCTCGCTCGATCCGCCCAGTCAGGCTTGGCCCCTGCCCCTTTCCTGGGACCGCGCCAGCCAGCCAGCCGGTCCGGAAATCGACGCAGGGCTGCTGGCCGCGGGGCTGGCGGTTGGCCCAAACGCCCCTGCCCTGCCCTGCTGGGCCGACGTCGATGCGTTGGGCCTGCCTCCAGCCTCAGCTCGGCCCGCGCCGCCCTGCCCCCATCCTTCCTGCTCCGTCGCTACCAGCACAACCTCGACCACCACCATCACCATCTCTCGTAGACTCACGCTCGCATCCGTCGCCACAACTTTGCACACTCTTCACCTCCCTCTCTCCTTCTCTCACACACATCCTTTGCAAAAATGGTCAAGGCTACTGTCATGTGGGTATCCCCCCGCCACCCATCGGGCAGGGTCGCACATCGTTCGTCGCTGACACTTCAGACTGCGCTCCTGTCGTTATCGTCGCGACTCCTCGCTCTTCGCGCCTCTTGCAGTGGTGCTGCCGGCGGTATCGGTGAGTGGCATGCTTCGCCGAATCTGGTCGCTGACGAGCGCGACGCACGGGCTGGGCAGGCACCCGCTGACCACGATGACGACCACGGCCTCCGTCCCCCGCCTCCTCGCCCCCACGCGCAGGCCAGCCCCTCTCGCTCCTCCTGAAGCAGTCGACCCTCATCACCGACCTCGCCCTCTACGATGTGTGAGTGTCTCCTTCCCGCGCCGATCCGGCTATGCTCCGTCTGCGTGTCCGTCTGACCTCAGCCTGTCCCTGTTTGTATGCCCGCCACCACTGCAGCGTCAACGCTCCCGGCGTCGCCGCTGACATCTCCCACATCAACACCCCCGCTGTCGTCAACGGCTACCTCCCCAAGGACGACGGCCTCGCAAAGGCCCTCAAGAACGCCGACATCGTCGTCATCCCCGCCGGTGTTCCCCGCAAGGTGAGAAGGCGGAGGCCCCACAGGGGCGAGGAAACGATGGCCGCTGTGGCCGGCTCCGATCTTACAGTCAGACTGACGCCCTCCTCCGCCTTGCGTGTATCTGCCGTTCGCAGCCTGGCATGACCCGTGACGACCTCTTCAACGTGAGTATCGACAGCGGCGGCGAATCTGTCCGAGGTCCTTGCGGCAGACGGCCAAGCTTCGGCGATCTAGACGAGATTGATGCTCGCTCCGGCGGATGTGCGGGCCACCTAGCCCGACCGACCAAGCCCAAATGGCTGACCGGCGAATCTCTTGCATTTCCTGCGCTGCCCTGCCTGGCCCCCCAACATTAATGCCAAATCCAAAATCGCGCCTGCTGCTGCCTGCGCACAGATCAACGCTGGCATCGTTCGCGACATTGCCGTCGGCATCGCCGAGCACTCGCCCAAGGCCTTTGTCCTCGTCATCTCCAACCCCGTCAACTCGACCGTCCCGATCGTCGCCGAGGTCCTCAAGAAGAAGGGCGTCTTTGACCCCAAGCGGTGAGTCTTGCCACCAGCGCTCCTGGGGGCCTCCCATACGCTCTTTGCCAAGGTGCGGGATTTCATCCAGGCTGACACTCGACCCTTGCCGCTTCTCGCCCGCGCCGTCCCGTTTGCCTGTCTGCTCCGCCGCCCGTTAGCCTGTTTGGTGTCACCACGCTCGACATTGTCCGCGCGTCGACCTTCATCTCGGAGGCGGCGGGCAAGCCCACCGAGTCGCTCAAGTACAAGATCCCCGTCATTGGCGGCCACTCTGGTGTCACGATTGTCCCCCTGATCAGCCAGAGCCAGCCCAGCATCGTGAGTGGCGCTCTTGGCCCGTCGTACGCACGCCCTGGCGCTTGCCTGGACTCGCTGCTGACGACGACGACGATGCTCGCCCTGCCGACTCTGCCCCCATCTCCCCTTTCTGCCTCTTGCAGGACGTGTCGCAGGAGAAGATTGAGCAGCTCACCAACCGCATCCAGTTTGGCGGTGACGAGGTTGTCAAGGCCAAGGACGGCGCTGGCTCGGCCACGCTCTCGATGGCCTACGCCGGTGCCCGCTTCGCCATTGCCGTCCTCGAGGCCGCCTCTGGCAAGAAGCTCGAGGTGAGTGGGCAGCGTCGGCCCCGCTACCAGGCGCAGATGTTGATGGAGACTGACCACTTTGCCTCTTTTGCTCTGATTTCGCTCGCCCGTCCGCCCGTCCGCCCGCCCGCCCGCTCGCCCGTCCACAGACCACCGAGCAGGCCTACGTGCACCTCAGCGCCGACTCGAACGGCGCCAAGGAGGTCACGTCGGTTATTGGCAACGACACCCCCTACTTTTCGGTGCCGCTCGAGCTCGGCCCCAACGGTGTCGAGAAGATTCTTCCCCTCGGCAAGGTCAACGAGTACGAGCAGGGCCTGATCAAGAAGGCCGTTGCCGACCTCGGCGGCAACATCAGCAAGGGCGTTGCGTTCATCGAGAGCTCCAAGCTCTGAACGGCAGTCGACTGACCAGCTGCTCTCGCAGTCGCAGTGCATCCGACCCCGCGTCCTTGTTCCCAGCCCGGCCTTTGGAGGCGGAGCGGTCCTGACGGTCGGTAGATGACCCGGGCGCGGGAATCCATGATCGTATATCGACGATGTCGGAGCCAGACTGTCTGGGAGCGTGCAGTGCTCATTGTGTTGTCCATGAGGCGCGGCGCTGGCACCGCAGAGGCCGGCCCTTGAGGCGACGAGTGGGCCGGCGGCGATTGAGAAGACGACGACGACGACGATGCCGATGCGGCTGGCCTGCGTGGCGTGGCGTCTCTCCTTTTGTATGCATTTGCAGGCCGCTGCGGGGTCGCGGGAGGGCTTGGTGGGACAACGGCAGGCGGCTGCGTTCCCAATTCCCGGTTCAAACTCAGGGTTCGTTCGCGCCTCTCGTAGGCCTTGCCAAGCCTGCTTGCTCCTCCGTCCTCCGTCCCTCGTCCTCCGTCCTCCATCCCTCATCCCTCGTCTATCCTCCCTGCTCCATCCGCCCTCTCTCCGTCTCGACGGCCCTGCACGCGCCATCCATCGGCCCCTCGAGATTTCGACTGCCGCCACCTCACCCGCTCGCCTGTATCGACGCCACAAAGAAAGAGTGGAAGCGAAACAGCTGGTCAGCCAGCAAGCAATGGCGACGACGGCCTCCTCTGCTGCTGCTGCTGCAAACACGGGGGATGAAGGGCGGGTCCCGCCGGACCATGCTCAAGCGGAACCCATCTCGGCCCACGTGCAGAGCGCCAACGTCGATATGGCCCACATTGCACTGGTACGCACGCCGCTCCTCGCTCCTATCCTCGCCCATCGCTTGTCGGCGCCCACCGAGGCGGTACAGCGTCGCTGACTCCACGAGGCCGCGCCAATCGCTTACCGTGGTCGCATGACCCCCCGATGCAGATTCAGCAGGTCCAGCATGAGCTGCGCACGCCCGTTCATGGGCTCCTCGGCACGCTCGAGGAGCTCCGCAACGACCTCGCTGGCGTCGACATGGACAAGGAGACCCGCAAGGCCGTCAGGGTCAAGCTCGACTCGCTCGGTGGGCTGGCCGACCGCCTGCAGAACGTCCTCGACGACTTCAGAGACTTTGTGCGTAGATACGGGAGGCGAAGACATGGCCATACCCCGCTGTCCGTGCGCGGCTGCCGCTCACACGTTGCGCTTTCGCTCCTCATGTTGCCCGCAGGCCCTGGAGACGAGGACGGCGCGCGAGGCGGAAGAGAGCAACGACGTCGTACTCGACGAGGAGGTGGATCTCGGTGAGCTACTCGACGAGGTCGCCTCCGAGGCGTGGAACGCCCAGGTGCGGCAGGTCCGCGCCGAGGGCGGTGCCGATGCGCGCCTGCCGCCGCCGCCGGAGCTCATCCTGCAGACCGAGACGTCGCTGCGCGGCTGGAAGACGGTCGTGTCCAAGGACATTCTGCGCAAGCTCGCATACAAGCTCGTCAACAACGCCCTCCGCTTCACGCACGAGGGCTGGGTCGAGGTGTCGCTCTCGCCCGCCGTCAGCAGCCCGTCGGCCGGCCTCGAGGCGCTGAGCCTCGACGGCGAGCACGCGCCGCAGGCCTCGGAGCACTTTCTCGAGCTCGTCGTCCAGGACACGGGCGAGGGCATGAGCCGCGAGTTCCTCTCGCACCGCCTGTTCGAGCCGTTTGAAAAGGCCGACTCGTTCAAGGCGGGCGCGGGCCTCAGTATGACGCTGTGCTCGTCGCTGGTGCGGCAGATGGGCGGCGCCATGCACGTCTCGAGCGACCAGGGCAGGGGCACCGTCGTGACGATCAAGATCCCCGTCCGCAGCCTGCCAGAGAAGAGCGTGGCGCCGCCCATGGCGTCGCAGCCGGACCAGCTCGTCTACCTCTACGGCTTCGAGGGGTACGGCCTGCAGCGCCTCGCCCAGGTCATCACGGCCCAGCTCGCAGTCTACGGCAACCTCTACTGCACCTCGTACATCGCCGACGCCGACTATCTCCTCCTGCCCGAGGAGGTGTGCTTCGACGTCGAGGGCGGCATCGAGGCCATCCTGGCCCAGGCCAAGGACGGCGTCAAGATCGGCGTGCTCCAGGCGCACCAGGACGCGGGTGTCGAGTACGCCGCGTTCAAGAACGGGAGCCGTCAGCCGGTGAGTGGCGGACAAGATGCAGGCCAGCCCCCGCGCGCCCGCTCAGTCGGCTTGCTCGCTCGATGCTGACCATGATCGCTCTTGGGTTGGCGCCCGTCTCCGCTGCACTCCTCTACCTGCCAGCAGACCTTTGTCACGCGGAAACCCTTTGGTCCGCGATGCTTTGCCAACCTGCTGCGGCTGGCCGAGCAGGAGGGCGATGAGGATACGAGGCACCCGGCCGAGTACGTCCGGGACAGGGACGGACACCTCGGATACGCGGCCGAGGCCGTCTCGGAGTCGACGACGCCCATCGGCCAAGAGCCTGCACCACGGCCCGGCCCGTCGACGCCGACTTCTTCGCTACAGCCAGAGATCAGCGTGGGGCCGCTGGACCCCGTCGCGAGGGCGCAGAGAATATCACCGGCTGAACCCTCGACGTCGTCGGCGTCGACGACGGCAGCAGCAAAGGCACAGGACGGCGCGACGAGACAGGCGACGGGCAAGACCAGCGCGACGGCCGGGCGGCCCAAGCTGCGGCGCAATACGGGCGACAGCCTGGCGGACCTGGTCGTGTCGCCGTCGACGCTCGACGAGGTGCTGCTGGCGCCGCTGCCCGCTCCCACGATGGAACCGCGCACGCCGATGCATCCGGCCTCGTCGCGAGGAGGTGGGCCGATCCTCGATGGAGCCGACCCGGCGGCTGCAGCTGCCGCCGCTCTGCCGGAACGCAAGTTTACCGGTGGGTAGACTTGCCCATCGACCGCGCCTGGCTGAGCGATGGCGACTGACGGACGCGACTGACTCCGATCTTCCTCTCCACGCTTTCCGTCGTCGTCCTCTCCATTTTCCTTCGATCTCGACACGCAACAGTACTATGCGTCGAAGACAACCCGCTCAACATGCGTCTCCTGACGGCGTTCCTGAACCGCACGTCCAAGATCCAGGTGTACGAGGCGGCGGATGGGATCGAGGCCGTGGCGCAGTTTAAGCGGCACCTGCCCACCGTCACGCTGCTCGACATCAACATGCCGCGCATGGACGGCTTCGAGGCGTGCCGCCACATGCGCGCGTACCAGCACGAGCACCTCGACGCGGCGCAGCGCCGCAGCAGGGTCCTCAAGATTGTCGCCGTCACGGCGCTCTCGGATGCGTTTCATCGCGAACGGGGCCTCGAGTGCGGCATGGATGACTGTACGTGTTTCGTCCTCCTTCCCTCCCTCCCTCCCTTCCCCTCCTGCCTCCGCCCCCGCCCTGGAATGAGCGGAAGAGGCGGTACTGATGTCAGAGTTAAAACCCGATCTCCGATCTGCCCCACCTTGCTTGCTTGTACCCGCCCCCATCTTGCCTCCCTGATCTTGACCTTCACGACCGCATCGACCACACAGGGTTCTCAGTGAGTCCCTCTTTCCCCTCCCTCTTCTCCCTCTCTGGCCGCGGACTAACCCCGCCTTTGCCCTCCTCTCCCTCCCTCTGGCGCCGTCGCCGCAGAAACCAATCAGAATGGCCCAGCTAAAGACCCAACTCGCTTCCTGGCAACAGGAATTCAAGGATGCCTCCAGTGCCGCAGAGGACGAGGCTGTTTAGACGGACGAACGGACGGGATCGGAAGCTTGCATTATAGACCCCTTTTCACACCCGCTCCCCTCGGTACCTCTACAGGAGAAGGAGAGGAGGGAAAGATACACATACCCCCCCCCCCCCCCCCCCTCCACTCACACTCAGACACGCACACACGCACGCACGCACGCACGCATGCACGCATGCACGCATGCCAGCTGGTTCTGGCATATGAACGAACGAACGAACGGCGGGACGTCCCGGTCATGCTTGATCGGCATCTCCTCGCCGCTGCAGGAAGCCGGCCGCCACCGCAGAGTCTGGCGTCTTCGCTCCTCGTTCCTCGCCCTGCAGGCGTTTCCGTCTTCCGCTCGCTCATCGCCACTTCGGCCCCCATTGCGCTGCAACTGCTGACCCACGAAAGCAGAAAGGCGCTCAGAACGAAGTCACATCGATCCTGCCTGCCATCCGACGTGCATTGGCAAGGAGAGGGAACGACAATAGCGGAGCGGGAAGAGGGGGTATAAAGAAGCAAGCAATAAGGGGGCGGGCGCATCGTCCTCGTCCATCCCGGACAGCGAGGGAGCGTCGTCCAACGCCAACCAACGACCACACGACGTCCAAAGACTACTACGACTATCGCCTCGACTTTTTGCTGCTCGAAGACGAGCCGCCCGTCTTGCCCTTTTTCGCCTTGGCTTTACCGGCCTGCTGGGCGTGAAGCGAACGACCAAGCGGAAAGGGACACGAGAACAAAGTCAGCCGCCGTATCACCCCTTGCTTCGACCACGGAAGAGGCCTGCCTTGGATGGACAGGGAAGGGACTCACCGCCGCTCGCCTCTCGAGACACGCCTCGCAGTGCCATGTCCCCGTCGGCACCTTTGTGAGGCCCACACAGCCGAGGTGGAACTGTGGCGAAGAGAAAAAGAGGATCAAGGAGGGGAAAACGACCGGCCAGGCTCAGGTTAGCGATTTCGGGACCCTGCCACCTTCGCCACACCGCCAGCGCAGCACCTCGACCCGCAGCGACACGTACCCATTCGCGCTCGCAGTCGTCGTCGTCGCAGCCAATCATGTCGCCGTAGCTGACATTGTTGCAGAAGCAGTAGCGCCTCTCGTCGGCGTCGTCGTTGCCCGCGCCGCCCGTGGCCGAAGACGCCGCAGGGCTGGCGCCCCGGCTGTCCTCGTCGGCAT